AGAGGTTATGTTCGGAGTTGGCAGAGCTTATTTTGAAAATATTAGAAATCATCTAATAAACAGGCCTTCTGTCAAAAATTCATGGTAATATTAAAAGGATGCTTCCATGAAAAACTAAGATGATGATGACATAGATGTTGCAGAAGTAGTAAAGAATTTTCTAGAAAATTATGCAGAAGTCCATGGATTACAAAGTTCAGGAAGATATATCAATAGAATAACTCAATCAATTGTATTCTTACCAGCTGAAATAAATTAGTGCATAGATATTTTCTAGCTGGTCTAGAAGAAATATAGCAAATTGAAATCCTTAAAGTACAATGCATTCAGAAAATTATGACACCAGAGATTCAAATCATGAGTCCCAGGACTGATTTGTATGACATGTGTCAACATTTTACAGATGGTTTACATTATAGTGCTCACCAAGAGGAAGAAGCTAAAGGATCACTTAAAATATTTAAAGGACATCTATCCAAGGCTAAATTAGAAAGAAATTATTATAATAAAAACACTAAATTAGCAGAAGAACAAAGAAAATTAGTTAATAAAAATTATTCAAAGGGTAAAACACAGTATTGCAGTATTGATGCCACCGCTCATTATAGTTATGATTGAGCCCAAAATGTTCATGTACCACATCCTGATCAACAGGTAAGTCCATGTAAAGTTCATTTATTTGGTATTCAAGGTGAGTGTAACAATCCTCGAAATAAGATGTCACACAAATGGCAATTAATTTTATTACTATATTTGGTAATCAGAGGAATTCATTTTTTATTGTTTAATTAAAGTTACTTGGCAATCGGAATTTTTTGTTAAAGAATTATACATATATTATTATTGTTATCATTATTATTTTTAAGGAATGTGGATATTATATTGTTATGTTATATTGTGGGGAATATAATCATATTATTATTATATTTATATTGTTTATAATCAAAGAAGTTATCTTTAAATTATGATCATACTTTCCAGGCTTCCATACAATATATAGATTATAGATTTATTTATTTTCTTATGATGCATATTTATATTTTAAGAATTGTATTTTTATTATTTAAAGAAGTAAAATTCAAACAAATAAAGATAACTTTTATATAATTTACAACAATAACATTATCACTTCATTAACATTGCTAAATAAATATCTAAACGTTTTTAAATAATTGTGATAATTATTTGAACATTTACAGTAAAGCAGTAAGGGAACTTATTAATTATGTTCTTGATCAGTCAGTAGACATTCAATACTGTACACTTTTGCATTCCTGTACTGTATGATCTGCAAATCAGCATTTCTGTATTAAATGTTACAAGTACAGAATCCATTTGATTGGTGGGGGTGCTGTGTACTGTATGTTGGTGTATGACTTTTTTAAAAAAATTCTATTTTTGTAGACCATACAGTACAGGAATGCAAAAGAGTACAGATGGAATTATAGGAAAAGGACCCAATGGCACTCTTAGCATGATTTTTGATGGAATTGAGAAATTGAATAAAGGTAAAAAGCATTTAAAGATTACTTGTGATAATGCTGGAGACAAAATAAAAAAATGGAATATCTTATATACAGAAAGGTTCTTTTTTTGAAATATACAGTACCCTAACCAAAAATGGAAATTTATTCTATAAAGAAGGAAATAGTTCAAATTTTTGTAACATCCTTGTGACAGTTATTTGTATGTGACGATTAAACTTGTGTGAGGTAGGAGTTATGAAATCCAAAAATAAATTCTTATTTGTCATATAGGTTCTGTATGTTTCATAAAAAGAACCTTTCTGTATATAGGATGACCCAATAAAAATAATGTAACTATTTGATTTTATTTATATTTGGTAATTTGTGGTTATTATGAAAGTATTGAATTGAATTTCATGATTCCAGGACATACCAAATTCAAAAGTGATGGTGATTTTGGTATGATTAAAAAACTCTATAGAAGGACAAGAGTAGTTTGTCTGGATAATGTGGTTGAAGTAGTAAATAAGTCTAATCCAGCAAATCCAGCAGGAATGAATAAAGCTCAATGTTATGAAGGTGGAAATGGTTTTCAATATTTAGATATTAAAGCTATTTTTGGAATTTATTCTAAGAAATTATCAAGCATAAAAAAATGCCAACATTTTCTTTTTGAGGCATCTAATCTTTGGTACAGTAAAAGTTCAAGAAGTTGCTAATGGACCTTTTACTAAATTCAATTTATTGAAAACCAAAAAAGCAGATATTTTTGAAGAAATTAAATCTTTATCTATTTTAGTGTTAGCACCACCTCCTTCGGACTACAAAAGGCAAGAATATCTTTATAATAGTATTTGCCCAAAAATTTAAAGATAATTACTTGTCCAAAATCAATATAAAATTTTTATTAAAGTTATATATTATGGTAGTAAATACAATAATAAAAAGTAAAAAAATAAAAGAAGTAATAGACAATATTTAACAAGAACAATTAGAAAATAAAATGAATAATTTAGAAAGATTAGAAGACTGAGAAGAATGATTTATTGATCAAACTGAACAATTGAAAAATATTTAAAAGAAAGCACTTCTAAGTTAGACAGAACAAAAAGAATTTTCCTTCTTTACATTGGAAATAGTTTAAATAAACAAAAAGAACTAGAAAGAAAAATAAAAGTATTAGAAGAAAAAGATGAAAGTAAAGAAATTGCTTTACTGAAAAAAATTCAACAAAAGAAATTAGAGTATTAAAAAGAGAAGCTGAACAGGCAAATCTAAACTATGTCTTTATTTTGAAAAGAAGTAGAAAAGAACAAAAAGAATTGGAGAAGAAAGGATTATTGGCTGATTATTTGAAAACTAGTGTTTAGGAAGAAGAAAAAGTTGAATGTCACCTAAATGCCTTGAAAGTAGCTGAAGAATGAAGTAAAAGACAATTGAAAGCTTAGAAAAGTTAGAGACAGTCAAGAATCAGGAAATACAAGGCATTCTCTTGACCTTACAAGGTAAAGAAAATGAATTGTAAGCCAATCAACAAGAGATGAACAAACAAGCCCAAGAAATTCAGCAATTGAAACAAGAATTATATTTAGCCAATAATAAGTCTTTGCCAAGATTATCAAGGAAAAAGAGTAAATTACTATAGTTTACAAATAATTGAAGTAAAACTTAAGCAAGTCAAACCAATCCACACTAATTCTTTTTTACCAATCTTTCATTAATATCCTTAATCTTTAAAAGATAGCAAATACATGTTCACCTATATTAAGTTAGGCAGTAAATTATTTCCCTTCCAATTTTCTTTTCTTTCTAAATTCTTCATCACTGGTTATGGTTTTTCTTTCTTTTTCATATATAGGTAATCTTTTCTTTCCTTAGATAAGTTTTTAGCATTTGAGGGATGCTGGAAAAGGACAGGAGACGGGTTCAAGCCACACTTGCCCGTCCCCCGTCCTCTTCATGTGTCCCGTGTTTTTATTTGTTTTTGAGTATCATTTATTTTGAAAATATAAGGAGTAATTTTTTCACCTTGTTCCTTTTTTTAATTGTTATAATTCTTGGGTTCCATAGTAGATCTGATATAAATGAGGTTTATATTAACTATTTTTATTTAGTGGTAAAACAAATATCATGACCACATTATATTTGATAAACAATTGTGATGTTTAAACAAACACTATTGATCCCTGAAATTCTTGGTAATACAAATGTTTACTTTGTCTGGTTTTGTTGCAGCATGCCCCATATAATCTTATCTAGTGAATCTGATATTAGTGAACCCAATTGCTTTTATTTCACTTGCTTGTCTTGTGTTTCATATAAAGAAGAATGAAATGAGTGTTCTCAATCCTTTGTATTAATTTGTATTTGCATGCACACATTATTATTTAATATTGACAATTTCAATGACATCCAGGATCTCATGATGTTGCGCACCTAATATCTTATACTTATGAATACATACATGCCCTTTTTGGTTTAGGTTTAGTCTATAGTAACTTTGACTTTTTTTTTTACTGTTATTGTGATTAGCACCAACATTAGTGGTTCTAATAATGATAGTTTTGAAAATCGATTCATTGATTCTGGTCAAATATCTGTATATAAATATTAGTGGTAATAATAGCGGAAGAAATGACCATCACTTGATTGTTGTGGTTATCAATTTTTGAATGTTTCAAAGAAAGTCTGCTATTAATTGCAGTAATTTTGGCAAGATGGAAATTCTGGTGTAGAATAGAAACAGACTTGGGTTAATAATTATCAAGCAAAATTTGATTAATATATAATTGATTGATACAAGACATTTTTGAGATTAAAAAATATTATGATCCTTCTTGTTGTGTTTCGCGCAATATTACACAAAAGTGTCAATTAATCTACGCGTGATCATATAAAACATGATAAATTACTAAAAAATAATTAGTTGTGGGTATTAAAATCAATAATCAATAAGTAATTTTAATTATAGTAAGATAACACCATTTAATTAGTTTTGGAAAACGCGGTAAATAGTTGGAAACAAGATACTTTTCAAATTAATTAAATATTTTATGTAATATTAATATATAATATTATTTCGAACGGGATGAGTAAACAACAATAAGAGGGGCTTGTGATTATCAAAGATTTTCACCTTGCATTTTTATTTTAAAACATCTTGATATGAATAATAAATTTTCACGTCATCATTTTCAATTAAATTTGTTTGTTTGTTTTCTGTTTGTTTATAGTCTACGTCATTCACAAGAAGAAAGAAATTTTTTTTCTCTAACTTGTTTAGTTAGGTAAATATCATGCGCGTCAAAAAATAGTTAAAAAAAAAAAGTGGTAATGTATAAACAAACGAAACAAGATTTAATTAAATTGTTAACGTTGAATAATGATGATTGATTAGTAAAAAAAATTTTTTAAATAAATAAAAAGAAGTTTTTTCCCATGCTCTTTTCAACCATTTATTTTCCTCATGAGAATAATTCCAACGATAAAATAATTCCAATAATCTACAATAAAATCAAGAAGGAGGAGAGAAAAATGTCGTTATACACAACATACAGCATAACAATGCAATTCTCATCAATTATTGATTATAATTTTATAAAATATGATAATGATCAATTTGTTAATAGCAATCAACAGTGTCAAGAATGTCAGGAACATCAGAAAATCCAAGAATCTTCACAACATAACGAGCATCAAGAAAATCAGAAATATCTAGAATTTCAAGAGCATCAAGAATACTCACGATCTCAAGGATCTTCACAACATCAAGAACATCAGGAATATCTACAATCTCAAGAACATAATGAATATTCCCAACATCAAGAATATTCTCAAGTTCAAGGATATCAAGTATATCAGGAAAATCAAGAGAATCAAGAATATCCACACTATCAAGAACATCGAGAACATCAAGATAATGACGATAATGATCGGGAAGCTCCACCAGAAACAATATCGACATCAACAACATCAACAACAACGTCAGAGTCACCTTTTTTGGAGATAGATATTTCTATAAGATTATCACAAATGAAGGCGATGATATATGGTGGAAATGTCAAAACAAATTTTTTGGAATGGTTTCCACGTGATCAACTTTATATTTTGGATTATATTGGTACATGTGAATTTGGAATAACGTATAAAGCAATATTGTGGCTGAATGGAGGGAAGAGGCTTACCAGATTTGATTATGAAAATTATTATTATAATGATGATTTTGGATTTTCTTTCGTCGCTGTTAAAATTTTTAATGATGTTAAACATTTTATTGATGCGGTAATTATTATCCTTTTTATGATTTGATTGACGAAATATTAGTATATTGATGAAATATTAATGTGACCTTTTTTTCTCACCTCCAAAATAAAGGTTAAAAGAATATATTTTATAATGGATGCTATCAGCGGGAAAAGGTAATTAGTTTATTAATTGATAAACCATCCAATAAATTTACATCTTTACATATACTGTAGATTAAATATTTCTACAATTTTTATTCATCTATCCAATCTCTCTCACCCCCTTTCTTTCACACATTCTCTCACGCCTATAATGGATGACAGTTATGCACTCTATAATATATTTAAATATTATGGGGTTGTGTTATTTCCTGAACTTAACAAATATGGAATTGTGATGCAGTATTGTAATGGCGGTAGCTTAACACAGTATATGAATCAAAATTGGAGCTTTACGAGCTGGAAAAATAAATTGGAAATATTACTTGATATAGCATCTGCGTTGAATTCATTACATAAAGAAGGTTTAATACATGGAAGTCTAAACAGTGACACGGTATTAATTTCATCATCGTTAGATTCATCATCTACATCATCAAACGCGCCAAAGGCATACTTGAACGATTTAAAATATTGTAAACATATCGACAAATTTGAAAAGCACCCTGAAGGACTGATGTATTTCACCGCACCAGAACTATTAATGGACAGATCTAAACCTTTCAGCAAAAAAGTTGACATTTATAGTTTTGGGATGATAATGTATCACGTGGCCACCAGCCAATTGCCGTATGCATCAATAGACAATAGGCTTTTATTGGAGTTTTTCGTGTTCAATGGGATAAAACCTGTCATTCCTTCTGGTCTAACATTGCCAAATTATTATCATGCACTAATTCAAAGATGCATCAGTCGAGATTCAAATAAACGACCAGATATCAAGGATATAATTTACAATTTGTCGGCTTGGATATTATGTTTAACAAATAGTGAATCTCCGTCTATACAAATTACCTAGTTTAGTTGCTATGTGTGAGGATAGTTATCAATTAGTAATAATGATAATTAATAATATTAATTAATGACAAAATTATAATCATAATAGTTATATAGGATATATGTTATTATTATGCATAACACGTTAATCGTGTGCATAATCAATCACATAATCTAAAATTCGACCACAATTTTTATTGTAAAAATAAAAAATTTAACTAATTATTACAGATTTTAAATAAAATCAATCATTTATCGTCAAGCTTTATAACAAGTTTTAATCTTGTTTAACTAACATGCATACATGCATATATGTATACATATGCACAACATCCTCAAGTCTGAAAAAAAAAATGATTTAACTAGTGAATGAATGGATGAATGGAAAATACTTGTTTTGTGACTAACTAAATTAATCATAATTAAAAATTTACTGGGAATTTTTATTTGTTTTAGTTGTAATATTTTTTTTAATTTAATAATGAAACTTTATTTGGCAAAATTATAAATATAAAAAGTAATTAATCATTATGTTGTTTTTTGTAAAACAAATTAAGGTAACCAAAAGTGAATAGTGTGGATAGAACAATAATAATTTCATTATTGTTAGAAAAGCTTTTTTTTTACTGGTAACAAAAACAATAATTAGCCAAAAAAATCTTTGAAAAAAAAAAAGAATCTAAGAATCAAATTCCATACTTGATACAAATTTAAAAAAACTACTTTCTTAAGTAATTTAGCGTTAATTTGTATATTGTAGATCGGGGCAAAATTTTCATCACATAATAATAATACGTAACAACTTTTATGTTTCATCAACGCAAAAATATTATAACGTAGTATCCCATATATACATCAATCGGCTCGGGATTATGGGTAATGAATCCACAAAGCTATATATCTTTTTGTTTATTTGTTGTTTTTTTTTAAAATTCTACTTTTCGAATAAAACAATATAAAATAAATTTTTTATTTTATTAGTATCAAATAATAATATACAAGAAAGAATTTAATGGTGATAATAATGGTCTCGTAACAATTCTTTCTGATTGTTCGTTAACATAGATCCTTTTTTTTTTTTTGAAAAGAAAAAATTTAATTAATGCAATGTTATTTATATTAATGTTAGTATATTAATAGTACATGAATTTTAGAACAGGATTCCATGTTTTAACCATATTTGTGCCTTTAAAAAATAATTGCATTTAAAAATTCGTTATACCAAATTACTAACGTTTCAACGAATTTTATGTTGTTGTAACGCGAGTTTAATTATAATTTGATTCAGATATTAAACAGGTCTAAAAATCCTTGTTATTATTGAATTGAGCTAAAGTTCCTATTCGTAATACAAATCCTCATTGAATTATTCGTTATTTCGAATAAGTTGAGTAGGCCTTGAATTCGCTGAATTCAATAAAATAAGCTCTTAAATTGTTTCATTCGTTACCTAAAAAGTTTATGTAACATCATCAAACTCTAGCCTATTATCTCTTGACTCGAGCTCGATTCGTTTGGAACTTTAGAGAAAACACTTGGCACAACATATTCAAATAACAAGAAATTTATAAAGCAGCAAAGTTTTTAATTCAGTATATGATAGGGGCAAATTACTAATAAACGAACTTCCAATACCCGGAGCACAGCACAAGAGAAGCCAAAACCATACCATCAAGAAGATTTAATACACATTTGAGCTTGTAGTTCAAATAAAACTTGTAATATCGAGTTCCATTCAATGATTAAAGAAGAACAAACAATTTCAGTTTCAGCTTCTTCAGTTTCTCTTTCAATTATCAAAAAAATTAAAACGAGTCGTAATCTACCTTTTGAACAGGAAGAGTTTTCTGGCATAGATGATTAGATTGACAACTTCCATGAAGATCAACGGATGAATTATGTCAAAGACCATTTGCTAAAATACCTTCCACTACCAAGAAAACTTATCCTTAAAGATATACATAAATCCACACAATTTGAACAGGGTTTCCTTGTACTCACATTAAATTAACTGCAAAATCTGACTTTGTGTGTTGATGCCATCATCTTCATCAAGCACTCAAGCTAATGTTATTGTGCTGATTAGGACGAAAAAAACATTCAGCAAACAAAGTTGATCATCAGGCAGAGATGCAACTCTTAACTGTTGGACCTAACAACCTTTTCCACACAATTGTGGTTTTGGAAGATGGAAATAATTGGCAATTGTAACTTAAATTGTGGAAATTGATACATCAGATTTTGCTACAAGAATTAAGTACACTCGTTAATATGGGTGCATTGAGAATGGAAATCCAATTAATAATTCACAACCTTAAGTTGGATTTAAGTGGTAAGTGGCAAATGATAGATTGTCTAATGGTAGTATGATTTGGTATATTCTATTGAAACAAGGGATTTTTTATTTTCTGCCCTAATTGATAATCAATCATATTTTAAGTTGAGGATTTCTACTTTTCTTTTACAGACTATTCCCTTCCCACAATTCCCTTCATAATTTCATAAGGTGAAAAGATGGACATGCTGCTTCTCCATAACTAAATTTATATAATGTTGATTTAATTTATTTAATTTGTATAATATGTTCATTAAGAAGTGTTGAAATTTTTTGTCTGGTATCTTGACCTTTCATTATTTTTCATCCGATGTAACCAAGTGTCTACTACTCTTTTCATTTTCATTCACTTCTTTGACCATTTTTCTATTTCTAAAATTAAAATAAGTCATCTATCAATGCAAAACAAAGTTAATAAATAAAGATAACTAGTTCTAGCAGTCTAAATTGGTTTCACATTTACCAGATTAGTTTCACTCAAAACCTTTAGTTAAAATTATTTGTGTATTTTAGTAATTTATAGTAATATCATTGCAAACAGTGGTTTTCTCTTATTTTGGTTCTCTAATAACATCTACTGTCACCCCTGATATTTTCTAAAAATAAAAAATATCCAAATTGACATTCCTATAAGATAAGTTGTTTATCTTAGTGGTGTTAGCCTTAGTCGGCTAAGCCGTTTACTACCTAAATTGGTAATTTTATTTCTATAACAAGAGGATAACGCAGAAATTTATTACCAAATTTAGAAATTATGTATGCAGATTATTAGCCGGCTAACATCACTAGTTAATCTCATATTAAATATTAAATGAACAATTCTGTAAGTTTTCATAATATATAAAAATAAACATAATAGGGTTAGATTAATCTTTGATGCTCGTTGAATTATTTTAATAGATCTATTAAAATTTAATATTGCTATATATATTGCATGATCAGGTGTTTAAACTCTACTCAAGATTGAATTATTTGTTTATATGATATTCTTTTGGTTGATGCATAAATTCTTTTTGTTTTACCATTGCCAATTATTGCCACCATTGATTATCTAATTTATTTACACGTAATTAAATTCCTTCTAGCAGATAAGTAAAGGATGAAGGAAATAATGATGCTTTAACCCTTGGATATCTACTAATAAAGTATTAATTATCTCAATAAATTTATTTATTTAAACACAATTATTATTGTTGTCTTGCTTTCAGAAAAGGTTGATTACTTGTATTAATACATGATTATAATTAAGGTAATTTAAAATTGTAATTTTAAATTCAAGTTATCAATTTAACCTATATTTAACTATATCATCTATTATATGCAAGTAAAATTTATGGGGGAATAAATTTATTGGTGTAAATTGAAAATCTCGTAGATCACTTGGAACCTTTATTACGAATTTTAGAAAGTGATTTTCGATCAAATCATGAGAGTACATCATTGGTTTGTTTATATCTTCATACAGTGCAGAATCTCTATTATAGGAACGAACTTGGAAAATTTAAATATCATGTGGTTCATAAATCAATCGATCATATAAATTTTTTATGGGAGATCTCCCTTTTTAAAGTAAAGGCAACTTTTATTCTAGTCATTAAACAAAATATATTTACATTTTTGGTGATTATGTTTTCATACTTTGCTTAGATGCAGATTAACAAAATTTACCGAATTCCCGCACCATTTAACAATTCCATTAATTTCTTCAGAAAATGTTTCGGCGAACAAGCAACGTTTAACGTTTTTATACGAAGTAAAATTTACATGTGTATATTAATAAGAGGTAATGGCACAAAGAATTTAGGGGATCAGAAAATATTTTTCATGATAGATAAAATAACTTAAGCCTGGAACTATTGTATATCTTGGAATTCCTCTTTTAACGAATCAAGCTCAATCACTGTCACCAAATATGATAATTGAACACATGCTTTGATCATTAAAAGCTAATTTTCTGTATCTAACCTTTATATGTCTGCTTCCATTTTCTGTTTCCACCTTGTAGTTAATTTAGGCCTGCCTCTAGCCTTTTTTGTAGCCGTTGACTCCTCAGTTTTGTAATAAATTTTAAACATTAAAGGCAAAAAAGTATTAAATCATACAAATAACCGGGAATGGCAGAAGTGATGAAAGAATAATTATAAGGTCAATAATTCATATATTTTTCCATTGTTTTCCAGCGGGTTTGTCCTGATCATAACAAAGTGAAAATAGTTCTATATTGTCCATCCTGTTATTAAATACTAGATTTTTTTCTGGTCAACAGATAAGGTTAATTTTATATTTTTTTTCCTATCATTTGATAAATAATTAACTTTAAAAAGTGTAATTTCATCTTTTGTTGATCGTGATGCAACTAGTCTACTTATTGATCAACAACATTACATAGATGCGTTGATCTGCTAGCGTGACTGTTGTGACATAAGGTTTGATATTTAGGGTTTGATCGACCCCAGAAACTTGGAAGTTTTAATCTTGGAATTTTGCAGATAAATCTCATGTCGTCACATAATTATTTAGGTGAGGTTTTATATAATAATAAATAAACATTATAAACATTATTGCAGAAATAGAAATACTTCTATTTTTAAATTTAAATTTAAATTTTTTTTATTCTTAATATCTCTGATATTATTTTAAATTTTATTTATGAGAAGAAAACCCAAAACATCCGAAATAAACCTTATCAATTTAAAGGAGAAAAATTATTACATAATAATAATATAATTGTTATATTATATATACCCTATTATTAATTAATTAGTATTAAGTTAATCAATTAAATTATCCATTAATACAACACTATTATATACTATATATTATTAATTGTAAGCTAATATTTATTTATTTTATCTACATATTTACAGAAATTAACACCAAACCAAATAAAAACCAATAAAAAAAATTTTAATTATTAAATTATCACATAAAAAAAAAATTAAAGGTGAAAAAACAAGTGCATGATTAATTAAAAAAAAAAACCCATCGAGGAATTCTTTAATTAATTAAAGAATCATCAATTAATCTTAAAAAACAAACCAATAAAAACTCCAATAAAAAAAAAATATAATCAATAAATTTACCATTGGTTTTTTTCGTGAGAAACAAAAAAAAAAAAAAAACAATTACGAAATATTTGAAAATTTATTTGTTTTGAAATTGAAAAAATATTTTAGAAACTCTGTCGCAATCAATTAAGTGAGTGTGGTGGAAGACCATGTGTTCGTATATGTGTGTGTATGCGCGTGCGCATGTAATGTACGTAATAATGTATTGTATATGTATGAAGCGAATTCTTTGAAAAATAAAAATGAAGGGAATTTATTAATATTTGCCAAAAGAAGAAAAGAAGAACTAATTGGTGTAACCTCGTTCATTGGTAATGGTGGTGTTAAAATGAAATAATTAAAAAAAGAGTTTGGATGTTGTTTGTTGTATGTACAAAAAAAATTTTTTTGCGTTTGTGTATGTACAAGGAAAATATATAACAAAAATAGTAATGAAATTTAACGCATGGAAATTCATAATAATAAATGGTGATTCATTCATTAATTATTAATTCATTTTTTCTCGTTATCAATGCTACATAAAGCAAATAACGGCAACCAATGATAAATAACTAGAATATTAGAACTAACGAATAAATGTAGAAGGCGTAGAGGATGGAGAAGGAGGCGTAGAAGGTTGTTTCTTAAAGATTCTACGAAGTTTTGATAAATTTTGCTTTTTAATTATTTGTGGTGGTTGTGAAATTTGTTGTTTTAATGGTTGTTGTAATGAATATGTCTCATCATTTGTATTTACGTTATTATTATCATAATTTTCTACAACTTCTATATCTACATTATCATTCGTCACTTCATTATCATCATCATCATTCTCCTCCTCTTTGTTATTGTCGTCGTCATCGTCGTCATCGTCGTCGTTGTCGTCGTCATCATCCACTCCTTCCCGGTCAATGTTATTAACATTAGTGTTATTTTTAATTCTGATCGAAGTTGGAGTTATTGACGGTGAATAATCATAACCATTGTTTTTCATATTCATTGGATTACATGAAGTGGTTAATGATTGAATGATATTCCCTGGTTTCCGTAATAGTTGTGAAACATTATTATGTTTGTTATTATTAACTTGTTGTATGGTAGTTACAAGCGTTGGTGATGAAGGCAATGAATTAGTTGAGGTATTTGATAAATTATAATCTAATCCATCATTATTGTTTAAATAATTATCATTACCATTGATATTGATATTATTATCCAAAGCAGTAAGAGAAGTTGGAGAAGTTGGAGTGGTGGGAGATGGCAAAGAAGAGGAGGAAGAAGAGGAAGTGTTAAGATTGGGATCATCGTCGTGAGATATTTGATTACGTGGACCAAAATCAATTGACCATCTTCGCTGAAATTTTGGTTTTTTTAATAATAAGAATTGCGACGGATTATCTAACGACCATTTCTTTGTACGATTCGGTGACTTGTTGACATTGTTGTTATTGTTATTATTTGTGCTATTGTTATCGATGTTTGATGAATCCGGTATCCATTTTTGATTACGATTTGCTTTCTTAGGAGGTAGTGGCGGTGGATGTGCTGAAGATACTGGAGACACATTATTTTTAATGACTTTTTTATCAGAATTACTATTGCAATTGTTGCTATTGATAAACGAATCGTCTTTGCTAAATATCTCATCGGCTCTCCTCCTATTGTTGCTACTATTATTACTATGATTTGAAATTACATTTTTTTGAAGAACATTTCCATTATGATTATGATTATGGTCATGGTTGTGATTATTACCACTAATATGATTGTTGTTGTTGTTACCAGTCCTTAATATGATACTTCCATCTTTTGAATGTTTACTTAACAATAAAGCTTCAAATACACGGTTTTTCAACGTCAATTTTTGATTTTCGGTATTCAAATGTTGAATTAGATCATCTTTTTGTGAAACAATGTTTTTTAATGCCTGGATTGTCAATCTGCTTTGTTCTAATTCTTGTAATAATTTGAAATTTTGATTTTTGAGGAAATTATTGTCAACTTTTATTCTTATCATTGAAATCGAAATCTTTTTCTTTAATTTAGATTTTCTTGATGTGGAATCGGAACGACCTAACCTAGACGGGGGGCGACCAAATGGTTCATTATTATATTCAGTTTCTTCATCACTTTCATGAATATCATTGTAATTTTCATTTTTTGAAGTATATTTTATAAAATCTAATTCTAATAAATCGTCATCCGATTCAGCACTAAATTCATCGTCGTCGTCATCATAATCTACTTCTACCTCGTCGTCATCATCATCGTCATCATCTTCTTCATCACCATCGTCGTCACTACTATCGAATGATGAATCAGAGTTTGATGATTGAAGTTTTGGAAATGATGATAATGTATTATTATTACGATGAGATGTTGTAATCGGTGATGATGATTTTATTTGTGTCGATATTGATACAAAGTTGTTATTATTATAATTATAATTATTATTATTATCAATATAATTAATATTATTAATATTAGTATTAGCAGTAGGGTTTGTATTATTAGTATTATTATTTATATTAAAATTATCGATTGTTCCTGATAATAATGACTTTGGTGCTTTTGGAATTATTACTGAAGTTGAGTAATTTGTCATGATTGATTAAAATTATATTTACGGTGTATTATGAAATACTATATTCAGTAGTAAGGATATATTTATATATATATAATTCTCTATTAGTGATATTAATATTTATATATTTTGGATATGTCTATTTATTATTTTTTTTTTTCTTCAAAATTATATATATATGCTAACAAAAAATTGGAGAAAAAATAAAAAAACTAAAAATCTAATCTATTTATAAACAAAAAATTTAGAAAAAAATAAATATGCAAAATATGCAAAAAATAAAATAAAATAATAATATATATAAATTATTATTATTATTATTTTTGGAGGAAAAAATAAAGAAAAGTATTTTGTTGTATATTTATAAAAATTAAATAATATGAATAATTAATTTAAGAGATAATAGGAAAAGTTTTATTTATCTATTTATTTATTATTTATTAATACTATATTAATATATATTTTACAAATATGGTTGTATGATTATTTTTTATTATATGTCAATCATTTATTATTATTATTCAAAGAAGAAAAAAAATAAATTAGATACGAGCAAATGAATTTATTAATGATCATGATTATGAATTTTTGAATGAATGAACTTGTTAGTAGTAACAGTAGGTGGGAAGAGAGAGGGAAGAAAATCTTGGGAATTAATTAGTAATACAAGAAATAGAATATACGGCCTATTCTAAAACCCGAATTTAAAATCTTACAAAAATAAACAGTATAAATAAAAAAGAAAATAAGCAGTATAAATAAATAAATAAATTAATTAATTTAATTTAATTTCTGCAATAATATATTTATACATGCATTACAACAAAAAATCGTCCTTTTTTAATTATTAACAAATAATAAAAAATCCCTGTCAGTTAATTTGTTCGTTATTTTGTTTGCTAGCGCTAGTACTAGCAAAAGAAAGGGTTTAAAGGGGTCGTTAGTTTAATTTTAAAAGAGTCATTAAATCTTAATTTAATATTAATGGATTAACTCGATGAGCAACTATGGATCTTAACGATATGATATATCAATGAAAAAGATGATTATAATTGTGATTTATTTATTTATCTTATGATTTTGAGAAAATTTTTTTTGTGTATTGTAAATAATGATAATATATATACTGTATACAACATACATACACAAAACAGTTTATTTTTGTTAAGAAATAAAAGAGACTACTTTTTGCAAATCTTATTATTAATTTAATCTAATTAGAAATTTGGTAAAATAAATATTTGTAATAAATAATAACATTAATTTTATATTAATTAACAGAAAAAGAAGTGAATTCCAAGTCATAAATATAATTATTCACCAAAACTATATAAAACATGTTATCGGAAAATTGTTTTACAGCCCCCCTTTAAATTCTCCTCATCGTTATTATTATTTAAACAGTAATAATAATAATAACAGGGTATATATAGAAATGTGGAAATTAATATGGAAATTCATGTTTATTGTATATATATAATAATTTATTTCATCACAACCAAATATGTAAAATCATGACGAACACGAGAATGTATTTTTTTTTTGTTTATTTATTTTTTGTAACCCGACACTAATAATAATATGAATCAACTCCGTACTATATTCCCACCGATCATATTATGGTATGAATTAAAAAAAAAAACGGTATTTACGGATTGATGAATCAAGGGTTTGATGATGGATAACAAATAATAATAATTCATCAATGGTCTAACACGGAGTGGAATATTTTTTTATTTAATTTAGTATTAGTAATAATAGAAATATTTACTAACTGATTATCATAATAATAATAAATAAACCAAATCAGTCATAAATTTTCTTTCATTCATTCACAAAGATATAATCATGATTTTTTTTAAGCGAATAAACATGATAACAATAATAAATATGACTTATTATTTTTAAAGTATTACGTATATTTAAAGTCATATGATCATTGTCCGAGTTTCTTTTTTTAATTTGGAATCCATTTTCGAAGATTATTATTGTTAAATTTAGTAAAATTAGTAAAACAATTAATTATTGATGATGACGACAGCGAATAATAACGACGATGATGATAATAATAATAATAATAATAATAATGGTGTTACCGAATCACACGAAATCATTCTTCGAAATATTTTTCTTTTTCATACGTAATATTTTTATTTTTTGTCAAATTAGGAAAATCACAATAATAATGATTTTACCAATTAATTAATTGTTTTCGCTCTTTATTCGCTTCACTTCGTCTTTTAAAACTTACTGAATCGATAAATCAACTGATTTATCAATCAATTAAATCGGTCTCGGATATGAATTGATAAATTCGTTTTTCTTTTTTGCCAAGATACGAAAAAAAAAATTTTAATTTTTTATTGTTCATCTCCGATTCTAAATCCAATTAAATTTGGCAGATAAGTATATAAATGAATGCACACAAATCTATTTTAAAATCGATGCAATGTAATGTATTGCTAATCATCCGTCAACACCTATTTTCTCGATAATTATTATAACAAAAACCGTACATATCGCACGTACTAGTTTGCGTACTTTCTCGCATACATCAATTGCTCATTCAAACTGCACATTTTTATTTATTTGGTAAATTTTTTTTTTTTATCTTTACAATTTTTTTTAAAAAAAAATCGAGCAGGCATAAAATTAAAAAATACCTGATTTAGCAAACGACAACTTTATTATTATTTATTAGTTTGCTCACACATCTATGTCGTTTAATATATTATAAAACTAAAAAAGAACTTTCCTAGCAATTAAATTATTCAAAAATAAATTTTTTCTCTTCTCTTTATTAGTATTAAGTAAATTATTTTATTATATAACAGTTACTTATTACAATCAATGTGTTGACTCTCAAACACTTCGCCCCGATCAGCTCGTTAGTAGCATGTATGTATAGCTGAAGCATAATAATGAATTAATAAATATATTTATTATTATTTACTGTGCTTTTAAGAGTATGGTTTCACCAAAAGCCGTGTGAAACTAAGCATTTAGATGAATTGTTTCACCTTATTTTTTAGGATTATTAACGATATTTCTATTAATGCAAATAATAAATATTCAAACAAAAGAGAAAGTATATGATGAGTGTCCAACTTGTAATAGATATAATACTTGGTGTCAATCTTGTGATCTACAATTATAATCTCAAGGCGGACAAGTGGCAATGAAACCATTGATGAATTAATAAAAAGCACAAACAGGATATGGTAAATATAATATGATGAATTAAAAAAGTATTGGAATAATTGGTTTGATGACTATATACAAAGCTACTTGGATAGTTGGTAAAAGATAAATGGCAATAAAGAATGTTGTAAAGATAAGATTGTTGCATTAAAAAATTACATTATTCACAAAATGTTCTGATGAATTTTTAAATGAGGTAAAATAATTTAATTTAAAAATTGTGATAAACTTTACCAAACTGATTACATAATTAGGATTTATGGATTAACAAGACCAAATCAAAAAAGATTATACATGAAAGAAAGAAGCCTTCAAATTATTTAACAAAAAAATTTAAAAATTTACAATGGAGAGATAAACTCTTATTTTTTATACTATTATTGGTGGTTTGGATATCCATGAACAAAAAATCATTTACAGTGGCAACATTCTTCATGGCAATTGTTCATATATTGCAGAAATAGGATTATCAGTTCCAGCTGATAAAACTTTAAAATTAAATGAAAATAGTGTATGTGGAGTATTACCATACTTAGAACCATAAGTATTAAATGGTAAACTGCATCAGGTATAGTTTGGAATATTGATGTCAGTAATCTCAACAGGTCAACAACCTTTTAGTAATTTGGCACATGATAGATCAAAATATGTGAAGGAGCAAGACCTAGCTTCTCAATTAATACTCCAAAACTTTATATTGAATTAGCCTGTAAACATATGGATATAAATGCGCAATTGCTAAAAATTTATTATAATGTGCTTATTCATTATGATTCTGATGAAGAAAAATTGATTCAAAAAAATTTGACTTGAACCTATATACAACAATTACAATGACAACAGATCCTGATGCTGTTTATACTAGTAGATTATTGTAATTTACAAATCTCTCAGCCTGTAAATTATAGAAGAGTTATTTATATTCGTTAGTAATAATAATGGCAATTATTAAATTATTATTTTTTTTTATTTTTTTTTTTAATAAAGGCAATATCCTGCTCATATAATTTTATTAGAATAATAATTCACAAAATAAATTCCAAATTAACTTTATATGTGGCTATTTCTCTTGAAAATAATTAATATATATATACATATTTAAATTTAACATTTCAGAAAAAAACAGATATGCCAAACAAAGTCTATGAAGTTTATTCAGTCTCAATTTAACAATTTTAAGATATTATTGACTGATCTGGATATTACCTAGGTAATAGGAAGTCGGATCCAGTATTAATGAAGTTATTTATTAAACTAGATGAGAATTATTAGAATTAGAGTTAGAATTAGAATGAGAATTTGAAAGAGGTCTTGAGGGTATTTATGCTATCTGATTAGTTGGTATAATTAGTTCAATTGGTAGGCATTCAGTGCTGTGCACTTTTGCATTCCTGTACTGTATGATCTGTAAATCAGCATTTGTTATGAGCACAGAATCCATTTGATTAGTGGGGGTGCTGTGTACTGTATGTTGGTGTATAACTTTTTTAAAAAAATTTCTATTTTTGTAGACAATACAGTACAGGAATGCAAAAGAGTACAGTACTGAATGTCTATATACTCAATTAGTTAGCTGTTTTATTTTTTAAGTTGATATTATTTTGTTTTAACCATGAGTTAAACAAAACACATTGTGGAAGCCACACATTTTTATAGTAGAGTTATTAGATCGTGGGAAGGATGATTGAAGTTTTTTTGTGAGAAGTAAATATTGGGTATATGAAGTTAATTAGAGATGTTGGAATTAATCTGGCTGCAAGTATTATAGGCGAAGTATGGTTGAAGTTAGATTGGAATATAGGTTGTAATAGTATTTTAGAGGATCTGTACCAATTTGAGATTTCAGAGATATTGATTGTTGGATTGTTGGCCATGGAATTGTAGAATTAGCTTGGCAAGAAAATAGGTGTGTGGAATTTTTAGGTGATTGATTGCAGTAGACAATTAAGATTGGGTGGGTGTAGTATTGAATAGTAATGTGTTATGGTGAATTTCAAGTTTGAATGAGAATAATGAGCCATGGTAAATATGTAAATTATTTTCAGTGAACATTGAGTGATGGGAGAATTTTAGACAAAATTCTATATATGACTAATTGATAGGTGTGTTTGATGAAATTTGTTTTACTAAGGTAGGTTGTGTTTGCCATTTAATTATTGCTTGTGAGTTTGAGCTCAATTTTATGAAAGAATGTAGAGGGTAATCAATTATTGTTGATTGAATATGATTGGAGAGTGGAGTTTGATAGAAGAAGGATTTATGTGGAGTATTTCAGGCAAAGCTGATTTAGCTAAGTTATCAACTAAATCATTATATTTATTGCCTGAATGTGATTTAAGTTTATGGAAGATTGCTTTTAATGATAATGATTTTTTTATGTGGTGATTGAGGATATTAGAGTAATTTTTGATTTTAAATTTATTGTGAGTAGTGTTGGGTGTAATGTTATTGTCAAGTAGTTGGATAGATGATTGACTGTCTGTATAAATTGACACCAAACAGTATTGTGGACAAGTTATAAGAGCAGTCATAATTGCTATTAATACTGCTCTTGTTGAAGAGGGAAAGAATGTCAGTGAACAAGAAAAAGAGTGTTTGACATTTTCATCTTTTAAATTGAATCCATGCACAAAATAATTTAATATCTTGTTGACCAAATTTTGATAAAGATCCATCAATGTAGAATATCAATGTTTGAGAGGAATGGTTATTGTTGGCATATGATGGTAGGATATTTTGTATTGGTGAGGAGGTGAATGTGGATTGTATAAGTTGGTGATTTATTGAGTGTGATATATTTAAGGATATATTATTATCAATTGTGACAGATGATGTATTATTGATTTGCTGTATTATATATCTCATATCTGATATATTTATTCTAAGTTGGTATGTTAATGATGGTAATTTTTTGCAAGCAAGGTAAATTTGGTTTGAGATATTTGGTACATTTGTTGAGTAGATGGACCTTTGATATCCTGTGCATGGTGGAATTGCATTAATATCTGTATTTATGTTATTCAATATATAATGTCTGTACAATGTAGATGATATGTGTTTGGCTATTATGAGATCAGAGTTTATTATGGATGCTGTTATAGGTTTGTGTCTCATGTCAGTTGGGGGTGTATAAGGAAGGGAAAATGAATGGATTGGTGTGAGGTAAATTTGATGTATTGCTTAAAAAATTTGTTTGTGGTTGACAGAATTGAGATTTAAGTGTATTGTACCATTTAGAAGGCCTATGAAATTCATTAAAAGATAGTCTATGAAATAACATGTTTATTGGGAGAAAGGTTGAACAATCACATGAAAGCAATTGTTCTAAGAAAAGTATTGAGTGTTTTTTGAATAAAGGTGTTATTTTGAAATATTGATTTTGTATAATGTTTATTAATGGGATATTGCCACCTTTGATGTTAAAAGGGGAGCTGAAAGAAGATGAAGGTTGGCATGTTATATGAGAAGAAATCATTAGTGTGACACAGGCAGCTGTGATATTTTTTGTTGTTTAATTTTGTAAGAAGTGTTTGTGTCATTAATAATTGGCAGAAAGGGATCCAGAATATAGATTGTAGTTGATTTAGTTGCATATATGTTATTTTACCTATGAGTGATGGATCATTAATACAAACAATGAAGCCTGTAATCATTGATTGACATTGTAGTTGCCAATAGTCAAACAGATTGTAAAGTTGTGGATGATAGATAGCAGAGTTTGGAAATGTTCAAGATAGACCTAGTTTGTTTTTAAATAGTTTTGTGATAGGGGAAAGTAGTTGTGAACATTCTTTTTAGAAAAAAAAGTGGTTTGATATCTGTATTCTAGTTTAGGTGAAAGGACATAATTTATAATATACTTGATTTGTTCTTCTGTTAATTTTTTGGGATAAAGTAAAGGTTTTAAGGTGATGATTGTATTTTGAAAGAGGAAATATGCAGAGCTTGATAAATTAAATTTAAAGTAGTATTTGCTCCCTTAGAGGAAGTTCATCTTCTATTAAAAAATTTAATTGTTGATTTTTTCCTCCCTCAGTTTTGCAAACTCCAAATAAATGAACTACATAGCCTGATAAAATATATAATGCACCTGTTTGCTGGGGTGAATAAGGAATGGTAACATTTTGTGCCCAATCATAACAAATATGTGCAATTGATAAATCATTTCTGCTTAATTCAATATTTTTATTATAATGATCATGTTCAAGATTTGCTTTTTCTTTATGTTCATTGAACTGAGCTTTGATTTCATCATATTCATCAATATTTCTCTTTGCTAACTGTAATTTTGATTTAAATTGAACACAGTTATCACATAAATCACTTGCAAGAGGTTGAAGCTTTAAATTAGGCATTAGCCCATTCCATAACCTTCTAAAAGAATCATAGGAAATAATTTTTTCTTCTGAATCATTTTCTGATTCAACTTTTAAAATATTTTCTAAATAAAATTTTTTAAATTCCCTATACACAAACACAAATTTTTTATCAGTGGGGAGATAAATGAATGTACCAGAATCATTCCTATGTCTCATTGGTGAAAGTAATCCATGTATTAGAGAATATTCATTTAGAAATTTTTTTACAATTGATTTTAAATTTTCATCAATATTGACTTTAGTTTTATAGGAACTTTTCCTGTATTTCCATGAATTTGTTCACTTATTCCTTCATCATGTAAATGCTTTACAACATTATTGAATTTAGAATCACTTATATTGTATAGCTTTAAAAATGCTGTTTTACAAAGAGCATAGGTTGAATTAAAACAATATCTATAATTTATTCTCTGAGGGATCTTTGCAGAAGATTCTTTATAATTTTTATTTTCTATTTCTATTGCTAAAAGTTGTGCTTTTAAAAACTAATTCTTTACTGTTTAGATTAATAATTTGAAAATGTCTTTTAAAAAACTTTTTAAACCCAATTTTCTCAAAGCAAGTTTTAATATTTTTTTGTTCATTAGAAATACAACATTTGCAACTTTCTGGACTTTCAAAAAACTTTATTAAATTATGTACAATTTCTTGTATATTTTCATAATTTTCATATTCCTCTAGATCAAGTTCAAATAAATCATAAAAATATTAATTTAAAATTTAGAAATATTATTATTTTAAATTGTGTGTCACAAACCAAAAAAGGGGTAACAAGATTAAAAACATAAGGGACTGTCTTGATTAGAAAAGTGAGGAGAAAAACAAAATCAGCTGATTTCTTAAAGCCCAAACTATCTTTTTGTTAACATGGAACCCATTTGTTTCATGACCATTAATGTTGATTTGTCAGGATTTACTTTAATGGCATTTAATTAGTAGAAAGATGAGGTAATTGATAGAATTTTGTTCATTTGTTCTTTTGATGGAGCAATCCATGTGGTATCATCCATGTATGCTAAGGATACCAGTTGCAACTTTCGGTGATGGTTGCTACCACCTTTACAACCATTTTATTTCCTTTTTTGGATTGTGACATGGAAAACTAATGTATGCAAAATTTGTAATTGTGACAGATTCAGTGTTGGTGGTGTATGGATTAACTGTTAAATTAGATGATAAAGTAGTATTGATGGCGTATCCTAATTCTGGTTTGGATTGAATATGATTATACATGCAGCCCAAATTGGTTTGGTGATTTCAATGGTCAAAATTATTCCAATTTTGATGGTAGAAAGTAGAAATTAATTATGGCACTCACTATTAAGGGTAGGTGGAATCACCTGTCAATTTATGTGTAGATCTGTGGCTCAAAAATTTGAATTTGAACAAGTTACATAGCTAAAGTACATGTAATGTGTTCAAACTGATTCAGAATTTTGTTCTATGTAAATTCTAGACCCTTTTATTTTCTACAAAAATTCAAATAATTTTTATTAATAAAGGTTTTTGGTGATCTCCAAACAAAGTTTCTCATTTCCTATAAATGTCTACTCTTATATAAGTAAAGTTACTTATTTCTTAACAAAAGTTACTCATTTCTTAATAAAGTTACTTGTTACTTAATAAAGGTATGTAAAAGTCAACAAAAACTTTTTTATTACATAGTAGAGGACTTCTCACTACTTAATTTACCACATTACACTTCTCATTACTTACTCATTTCTCATTTCTCATATATAAAAGAAAAATTTTAAAAAAAGTAATTAATTAATTCAATATAATAAGGTCTTATTCTTTGGATTACTATTTGTAATGTGTTATTATTTACATATTAATATTATTAATATTGTGATAAATAAAACGAACATGTGTCATTTTAATAATAATATTTTTATTACTTATTTTTATTATTTTGACCAAGTGAAATAACAATCAATCATCTGATTATCATGTAGTTATCCACGAAAAATATCCACGATCGCCAAATCGATTTCTAAATAAGGATAACACACACCCAACCCACCAATAAAAATTGGATATTCTGAGGTTTCACGAAATTTGTGGATATTTTTTGTGGATAACTACATGATTATAATCATCTGGTTTATTTTTCAATAAAATATCTTTGTGGTCAGAAATTAAACAGTAGAGTTTAATTATCCATTCAGTTATCAGAGCAGTATAGAACTTTGAGGTTTTGGTTATTTGCTTTAATAAAGGAATCAAAGGTTTGGTTTTTGGTTTTTGTTAAGTTTAAGGTTGTGGGTGAAACCTCCTTAGTAATTGCTGAAACCACAGCAAACTATAACAAATCTTATCAAAAATCCTGTTGAAACTATGCTGAAATGGCAAAACCTCAAATGTGAAACTCTGTCAAAACTCTAATAAACAATTTATGTGTAACCTGCTGAAACCCTGCCAATTGATTTCTGGAGGAGTTTCAACAAGCAACCTTAGTTAAGTGTAAACGTTTTTGTTTAAGTTTTTGTAAAAGTGTAATTGTAAACATAAAGAAATTGTTAAGACTAATTGGAAAAAGTATTAAATGTTAACAGTTATCACTGATTGACCATCTATTATAAAGAGGTTGACCAAAAAGCTACCTTGCAGTATTATGATCAAGATGATCAGCATTAAAATTTTTTTGAGCCATTGTTACTATCAGTCGCAGGACATTGCAAATATACAGGGGTCAAGTGTCATCTTTGCACATAATTTTATATGTAAAATTGAAGAAAAAAATCACTCTGGTATACACAAACCTACCTGATTTAACCAAGATTTTCCTTATAAAAAATCAAAATATATGGAAAACCCTTTATTTTGACATATTTTTTGCCAGGGTAAACAAATAAGACTTGAAGAAAATCTTAATGTGAAGTTGGTCTACCAGCTCTATAAGTTCTATGATATAATAATAAATTAAGAAATTTGTATATGTGCAATTCAATCTTTGGACTTAGTTTTTTTTTTACATAATAATAATTAATGCAATAGTAAGTTCTAATTTCCAAGTTTTAAATATTTATTTTAGAATTTGTTTATAGAAAAGTATTAATTTTTTTTTTATAATGAAACATTTTACCTAAATTGA